CCCCAAAACCCCAAAACCCCAAAACCCCAAAACCCCAAAATTTCATCATTAGATTGAACTCCAATAATCTGTTGCTAAATAAACCTAAACTTACCTTCAAATCCAGAGCCAGAAAAGTCCCTATTCTCCATACCTTTCCTAGTCCTAATTTCCAGGCATTTTCAGGAATATTCCAGAGGAATTATTAAAAAATTGCACTTTTAGCCATAAAAGGTTAAATCAACTAATTTTAAAACAGTCTTTATAGCCCTTTGTGAATCCTGATTGCCCTATTAGAGAATTAGGGGTCTAACTTCAGTATTTAAGGAAAGTTATCCAGCGTAATAATTAGGATATGAAGAAGAGTCCAACTGGGACAGTGGAGATTTTGTGTTTAAGTGGGTAGGGAACTTAGGCGTTGGCTGGGAATTTCAGATAGGAGAGATCTGGTAGGTTTTTTAGGGAGGAATTTGTATTTAGAGGGGGTGTATAATCTGGGTAGCTATTTTTAGTAATGACTCGCTGAAAGTATGAGGTTTGTAAGGTATTTGATCTTGGCTTAAAGAATTTAAGAGACATACACTGGCTTTAACTGTTAATTTCTTTTGATGGTTTGGAAGGATTCATGGGTTTTGGAAATCTTCAAAATTTTAACCCTGGAGATGAATTTAGGAATACTTCAGTCGAAGTGGTAGTCAAAGGAACCAAAATTCGTAGTTCATTTTATTTAGAATTGGACAAGATACATGGTATAGCTACCCCAGATTCTTTGAAGTTACTTAGAAGATCTGGGGTTATTGTAGCAAATTTATAGTACCAAGTAACCTAAGCGTATGCCCTAGTGCCAACTGTGAGGTAACTATATACCTTCTCTTACTAAGCTACTAGCTGATATCAATGGGCTCTTATCATAACTCCCTTGAGTTTAGAAAGATATTATTAAACAGTTAATGGAACTTCTGGACTTGTTGTAGCCAAGGCTTACTAAAATGAATGCATGTCGAACACCTCATGGATACTCACCCTCAGTCAGAGTTTCTCGCTTTGTAATTAACTGCAGTGCAATAAGATGCTAGAGTCAGGTTTTTGCAGGAATCCAAGTAAAAACACAGTAAGAGATTTAATGAAAATTTAAGAAAAAGAGTTATTCATACCTCCTTGCAAGCAGTTCTTTTGGGAATTACCTACAAGGAGCTGGTAATAGACATCAGACTCCTTAATGGTCATGATCTTCAAGGAAGTCCTCATCTATTGATTCTTTGCTAGTGGATGAAATCCTTCCTATTCACTTAGTACTATATTTAAACCATGCAGACTCTTCAGAGGAGACTTCGGAGGTATCATAATTGCTAGGTTTAGTGAAGATCTCCCTCTTTTGTCTGGAGAACTCTTCTGCAAAAATCTCGCTGAAGTCAAACCTTGGTTTATCTGTATGAAGTTCCACTTTAGGAGTACAGCTTTCTTTTTTGAGGTGATGACTAAAAGAAGATACTGGTTGCAAAGTGCTGGTCTGGCAGGTTTTTGGCGTCTTTGAAGGCTTTGTAGTTCTCTTTTGGCGCCTTTTGTGGCGAGTGCTTGCATTTGAGGAAGTAGGCTTAGCTTGGTAGTTTTTCATATCTAGGGTCTGGTCGAACAATTTAGTAGGGTGCTCGGAAGTCTTAAAATTGCCTGGTTTGGTATTCTTCCTCAATTTCTGGTCCATTCTTTTGATAGAAGAGTCAAATGAGAGGGGGTCGTCTTTGCCCACCTTCAAATAATCGCTATCTTCTTCTTTTCTCTTAACTCATTCAATGTTTCCCATATTTGATAAAATTTACTATAGTTCTAAAGGATCAACTTTTATATCGATATTTGGGGTTTTGGGGTTTTGGGGTTTTGGGGTTTTGGGG